GGGCAGAGCGCTGCGGGCAGAGAGCGCGGTGTATGCAGAGGCCTGGGGGCGGTGAGTGCGGGGCACAGAGCGGGAGGGCCGGTGGGGAGCGCGGTGCGGTGCAGGCCGCACCCCGAGTTGGCCTTTTCCTACACGCTCGTAGCTGTCAGAGTGTTTTTCGCCGGGGTGAACATTTCTATTCGCGTTTGTAGAACATGGCGGGGACTGAGTGAGGAGAACAGGTTTGAAGGGGACGTGTGATGCTGGGGACCACCGAGGCGGTGATGACAGGGTGGTGGCCAGGACACCGGCAGCACCCTCCGGGCGGTAGGGTGCAAGGGGAGCCTGAGAGACCGGGAGGGGCTCGGACAGCGCCCCAGGTCTCTGCGTGAGATGGGAGCACCCAGTAAGTCAGCAGGTCGGCCTTTCCCGCCAGGGGGCCTTTGAGATACTCAAGTGGAGCAGTCAGCGGGCAGTGTGAATCCGGGACAGGTCTGGACAGGAGGCGCAAGCCCGTGAGCCATCTGGGGCAGGGTAAACTGAGGCTCTCGGGCGTGAACAAGAGCACCTTGAGCGGGAAGAAGAGAAAAAGATTGTTCGCCCTGTCCACTGCTAGTCTCTGTCGAAATTGGAACGGTGATTGGAAAGCGTATCAGTGTCTTAAGAAATGACCATAACTTTGAGCCTGTAACTCTGTTTATAGGAATCTACTCTCAGAAAATAATAGTAAATGTGACAAAGGCTGTGGATAAGAATATTCATTTAAGCACTACTTATGATTGCAAAAAAGAGAGAAAATTACTTGTCTAATATTAGAAGGAGGTTAAATAAATTACCATGCACTTATAATAATGGATATTGTCATTATAAGTGTATGTTTATAAAGATGTAATGGCATAAGTCGATGACTGTGATATAAGAGTGAACGAAAAAGGGCACCAAATTGATAGAAATGGAGATAAAAACTCAACTGTGTGAGAAACGCAGAGGTCAAGAGTATAAGAAATAAGGTAATCTGTGAACAGTGAAAACAGGGTGATTGTCCCAATTTTTACTTTTATCTAGTTCCCAAAATTTTTAAATGGGCATGTATTACATCTTTTGTATTATTTTATTATTAGGAAAAGAAATATAAAATTACAGCATTGTCCCAGTTATGAATATGCACTTGACAGGCACTGGTTAACAATCTCTCCTTTTCACAATATCGATGACCATTTCTGTTTTAAATCTAGCATAACATTTGCTAAGGTTTGTAAAATTGTTACCGTGCATTTTAAAGTGTTATGAGCCATTTTGACTTGTAAAATAGTTTCAGAAAATTGATCTAATTACCAGGCAACAGCAAATCCTTTCCCCTCAGAACAACTCCCCTCCACTGGCACCCTCTGTATCCCATTGAGAGTGTTTGGATGTTCTCAGCTTCTTGCCCAGCAGTACAGATGACTGAATTCTTTAATGGAGGGCTTTAAAAAAAATTAATTAATACATACATATAGGAATTCACTAATTGTTTTAAATATAACAGTTTTTCTTTTTCCTTCCAGTGACTGAGAGATCTGTCCATTTGGGCTGCCGTTTGTATCACTGTCTGCAGTAACCTAAAGTCATTCTGAATGTGGTTTAGAACTAAAAGCATGGTCTTTTTTTAACTCCAGGAATGTATACAAAGACTATCGCTTCCTCGAGCTGGCATGTGATTCGCAGGAGGACGTGGACAGCTGGAAGGCATCTCTGCTGAGAGCTGGCGTCTATCCCGACAAATCCCTAGTAAGTGGGAGAAGTCTCTTATTTTTAACTAATTAACCATTTTTAAGAAAACAAGAGTTCTATGTACTGTATTCTGGAGAAGCTAGTTCTCTTTTGACCTAATTTGGCACAGCTTTAAGCGATACTTGGCTTATATTATATATATAATTTTCCTCCACTAGATTTCTATTTTCACGAGTTTATCAGTATATTTAGACTTAAAGAAAATGTCCTACTCTGCCATAAAACATAATATATGTAATAGTGGACCATGAGAGAGTTTCTTTGTTTTAACTTAAAATTTTCCCTTGTGTGATACTCCACAGTTGTTACAGTATTAATACAAGCAGTTTATAACATTCTTCATGTAGTTATAGCATATCTATATCTATACCTATATCATCTATATCATTAATCATAACACTATTTTACATTCTTAAAAATGTACTTATTTTTATAAAAATCTACCTTTTATTATGTCCGTAGTACCTGTTCCAAAATTATATCTGTGTTTACACCCTGGTTAATGTCACCGTGAGTGTGAGGGAACAAAAAAAAAATACTAGATAGCTACTCCCACTTATCTTTATTAATGTACTTCAAGTGTCTTGAAGACACTTTTCTCATTCAAGTTAATAAACAGACCTTCTATTTGTGTTCTTTGAAAATGTAATATTACACAGACAGGTCTGGATTTAAACTTTGCAGAAGTTCGACCCAACACACGTCCACACACTTGTTAAACAAACTCTGCACACAGCGGCCCTCACTGCTTCCTCTCAGGTCCCCACGCGGCGTTGTGCTATCCAGGTGCGCCCCCAGGGCTAAAGCACTGAGCCTGAGCCTTGGGGATCGAGTCCAGCTTGACAACTATGGTGCTTCCGGGGCTCTAGATCAGTTTGTAGGACTGATCATGCACAGGTTGGTTTATTTCCAGGCCCAAATAGGACAGAATGAGCCTGAGATACGGATGCAATGCAGGACCATTGAAGGCACTCTGGGGGACATTCAAACCTCATCCCATCCTTGAGGATACACTGGAATGTTGCAGAGTTCTGGGACAAAGGATCAAGGATTTGTGCCAAAATGTTCTCCTCACTGCTGTTACTTTAGCTCACACATCCACCCCTTAACCCTATCCCAGCCTACTTTTGTCTGGCTAGCACCTAAAATGATGAGGCCCCACTACATACCCTGTGCCCTCCAAATGGGGTGACACCAGACCCTTTCTTGGTGACACCGGCCACAGAGGTATCGGTACATGGTTTTCCTAATTGTTGTCCAGTTTTTACCAGTTGTGTACATACATACTTGCCTAGATAGCTACCACTCTAAAGACCACATGTGAGGAAGCGTTGAAAAAAATTATTGCTCCTATTAATTCTAATCATTACTTATTACTCTTCCCTATCCATTGATGATAGTGTGTTCAATTTCACAAACATTCTATATTAATTGTTTTAAACCTTCTAGATTAATTTTTTGTTCATTCATTCCATAAAAGCCTGTTGAGCACATGCTTTTCTTCCAGGCACCAGTCTAGGCACCAGGGACACAGAGGTGAGCAGTGAGGTCCCACCCCCAAGGAACAGACATTGATCAAGGCAGTGAATGGTCGCATAATTGTGTAGCGTGATTTAAGAGTGAGAAGTTCTGTAAAGATAAGGTAGGTTAAAGGAACAGGAAGTTCGATCGAGGGCAGGCGAGCTTTATTTTAGGAGAGGTGATCAGGGAAGCCCCTTTGAAGAGTTGAGCTTCGAGTAGGCTCCTGAAAGGAGGAAGGGAGTAAATGATGGGAAAGTCTGGAAGAGTAAGTGTGGCTGAGGACTGGAGCGTGCAGAGCCAGCCCAGTGTCTTAGAAAAACAACAAAAAAGTCAGGGAGGAAAGACAGGAGTGGTTGACTGTTTCGGAGAGGGTAGTCAGAGGCAGGTTGTAAAGGCCTTGAAGGAGCGGTAAGTGTTTGAGGTTTATTCTGCCTGACATGGGACATCAGTAGAGGGTTTTGAGTCACTTTGCTGACATCATAAGATTTGTATTTTTAAAGATCTTTATGGTTGGGTATTAGGAGAAGCAGCAGAACAGGTGGGTTCAAGCACAGGCATTAGTGTCAGACCACCTAGACTGACGTTCCTGACGCTCTTGAGCAAGCTGTGAGGTGCTGGGCAGGTTACCTGGCCTTTTTATGTTTCAAGATTCCCATTTCTAAAGTGGAAATGAAAGAAGTCCCCATAGGGTGGTTGATAAGATTGAGTGAGATAACGCAGGAAAAGCACTGAGTAGAATGGGTGCAAATAAGCACTCTGTTTTTATTTATGATGGTGATGGTGATGATGATTTCATCACACACTCCTTTCTTTAACAAGTAGACGAGAGAGCTGAAACACTGTGGATGTTATAACACAGCCCAGTGAGACTGTAAATACTTTGCTATTTTGGTCTTCCAAAATATTTGGTTATATAAAATATCTGTGTGTGTGTGTGTGTGTGTGTGTGTGTATCTTCCTTACATATAACTAATGTTTGTGAAAATGGTTCCTTAAGTAATGATTTTGTCAATTCAACTTATTTTAAATGCACTGGCACGTTTGCTATTTAAAGAAACCATGCAGTGCATCTCGTGTGGGAAAGCACCTTCCCCTCACTGAACTGTTTTTATAAATCTGGATTTTCACGTGTCCATAGTTCTACACAAAGAAGTAGCTTAGTGAAATCTTAACTTTTATCTTTTTTTCACAGAATGCTCAATTTTAAGAAAATCTAGAGATGGAGCCAATCCTACACAATCTGTTTTGGTTCTTTTCACATGATTTTTATTTGTTTAGACGCACACATTTGGCACAGTGGTTTGGGCAATCGGGACAAAGGGGTTTTTTTTCACTATAAGCCAAAGACATGGCAGGAAATTAAATTTGGCAGTGTGCCACGGACGTTGCTTTTCTCAGTTTTCATCATAAACAATATTTGCATTTCTTATGCACCATGTGGTTGTCCAGGTTGCATTACACGACTGCTTGACTTTCAGATGGTTAAATGGCTGCTCACTGCTGAGAGCAAGCTAAGTAGCTCGCTTGTCTAAACATCCCGTTTGTGAACAGAGAGACTCAGAGGGAGGGATACTGTCAGGTACAGTGATTTCTAATTTAGAAAGATGAAGACTTCAGATTAAGCTAATAATAGATGCCTCTCTCCAAGTGTGTCCTTTTGTTTTTGTATCAATAAACCATCGAGTCCACAGCAAACCGGTCAATCGCTACTCAGATAGTAAAACTTTTATGTGTCACACATGGACATGAGTCTAGACTTAAAAAGCTCTGCTTTCTACACCTCTGTTTTGACTGGAAAAAAGTCTACATTGCTTATTATTTTTTTAAATTGTATATGTTTTGGCTTCATTTAGATAACTAGGCATCACCCAAATTTGAATAAAATGATGTTTCAGGCCAATCTGATTTTCAACTCAGGTTGCACACTTTTTTACAGCATGCTTTTTCCCGCCCTGTTTTTCTATCACATCCACAGGATGGAATGATTTTCTGTCACTAATACTGTCATATTCTGCTACGCTGTTTCTTCTGTCTCTTAGGTCATTTCTCTTGGAGTTTTCTACAATGTTTTTTTCTTTGTTTCCTTCCCTTCCACCCTCTTCCCCCGCTTCCTTCCTTCCCTTCACCCATCACTCTTGTGGTGGACTCTAGAGATTCCCAGATTTAAAAAAAGCTGCCACTCTTACTTGATGGAAGTTCCAAGTCTAGCGGAGAAAGAGATGCAAATAAATAATTACTCTGCAATGTGATGGAACTACAGTAGTATCTGCATGTAACACGGCACCCCAACTATATCCCCCCATGTGCATTTTCTAACTAGCCACAGACCCTTGATCTCTCTGGACCCAAAGCCAAACGAAGACTTCTTATCTGAGCAATGTCCTGTGTGTGACCCTAAGATGGAAATGAGGATCCTGGATTCGGTTTCCCACGGTGCCACTGACCTGCTCCGTGAACTCACACACAACCTCTCTGAGCTGCAGTGTAGCATTCTTTCTGAGCAGCCACAATACTTTAAAAATATATTTAAGTCTGAATTTGGATTTAGCAGAATTTTATTTCTTTTATTTCTATTTCCTTTGGCCATTACATTGAAACTATGACCACTATAAACTTTTATATCATTAAATAAATGTATAAGATTTTACACATTTTCAAAGTAAAAAATGTTTCTAATGGAATTAACTTTCTCTTTTAACAATTAGACTGAGATAAAAGTGTGTGTGTGTGTGTGTGTGTGTGTGTGTGTGTATCAGTAGTTACAGGCTACAAGTACAGCACTTTTTTACAAGATGATTTTACAGATCCATGTACATAGTTTTCCTATAAGTTTGAATACAAACAAATGTGAATTTGATTAACTATCTAAAGAACGTGATATAACAAATGCCTGATTTTTCTGGCACAGTTTTTTTCGGCTCAGAACGTGACTTAAATTATACATAAACAGTAAGGAATTCCGAATTCTTTGGAACATTTTGTGTGAGTGAAATGAGGTGGATGCTGTCAAATCCACTCACACGTGAATCCCGACCCTCCCATTTGTTAGCTGTGTGGCTCAGGCAACTTACTTAACTCTCCAGTTGTTTGTTCGTTTTTAATCTCAGTAACTACCTTTCTCGAGTGAGTTGATCAGATTAAATGAAGAGACTTACATATCACATCGCGCTTAGTGCCTGGAACTCGGTGGATGTGTTCAATGCCATGAACATTATTGTTGGAAATAATTAATGTGCCCGTGAAGCTGTGTCTCCCAGTTTAGTAGTCCCCTTTTCTTTGAAAACTATTATTGGGATTGGGCATTGGAGGGAGTATTTTCCCAACTGTTGGCTGACAAACCCGAATTGCCTAGGGAAGGAGGGTCTTGGGGTTACGCTGCCATGTGGACAGCCCGGCCTCAAAGCTCCGTCAGTCAGGAGTGAGCCAGAGAGGCTGTCTGGAATCGAGGACTCACAAGCCCTCCCTCAGAGGCTGCC